TCAATGTTTCCATTTCTAATTTCCTTGGACCTTGGCCTTCCTTTCATTATTTGGGCTTAGGCCTTCCTTTCATTATTTGGGCCTAGGCCTTCCTTCCCTTCTTTGGGCTCTGGTCTGAGCTTTTATTGGGTCTCTCTCAAGCCTGAACTATTTTAGGAATAGAAAAAGACCCTGCATTAACAGTGGCATAGGACAAAACTCGATTCTCAATCTGAAGAATTCATTGGACGTTGGTCTTCCATCATCCAAAACAAAACCACAGGCCCATTTACAAAACCTAAGCCCAGCCCAGTTCATTGCAAAACCCTAGACTTCACAACCGCATATACCCTTCAGTCACACTTTATGCTCTCTCAAACCCTCCCTTCCTTTTGTATATAAAGGAGAGGTCTAACATTCGAGCTCCATTTTTTTTCGCCTGCCGCCTCTCTCGCATCTTGTCACCTGGTTCGCTCTTTCTCTCTCTCTATCTGGAATATTTAGATCTGAAATTTCCCAGCGTTTACTTGCTTTGAAGAAATGACCATGCTCGTATACTTCAATTGATTGAGTTTCTGTTCATTTTTTCGATTTTTCTTGCTCAAGATCTGTAACTATATAGCGAAATTAGTATAGTATTCGATTGTTATGTCTTGGAATTGATTGGATTGAGTTTTTTTTATTTTTTCCTTCTTTGTTACTGTTTATAGCTTGTTTCGATGAAAAAAGTGCTTTTGAGCTTTGTTAGGACGAAAAAGTGCTTTTGGGGTTTTTTGGTTATATAACTCGTTTGATATTTAGATGAATATCGTATGGATTTACTTGCTCAATCACATAGCAGATTTAAACGGATAACTTTTATGTTTTCTTGCATAAACTTGTATGTATTGTATTTATCGAAATTCTTGCATAAAAAATCATTTTACAAGCATCAAGAATCTGAGAAATTACTTTCATAATATTCTTTGAATTTCAATTAGATGATGTGTAATTTTGTGAGTATCTGATTAATGGGATCTTGTTATTTGTTCTTGTTTATTTGTCTAATTACCTTGTTTTAACAGTTCTTGTTGGCAGGTATTAAAAATATTTTTGGAGGTGACATTTGAAGAAGAGACAAGATGGTACGATGCTCGTTTTGCTATTTTGGTTCAGTGGGTTGCTAAAATTCTTCATTGTTTGCATATTCTTAATTGAGAGACAATTTTTTGTATGTGCAGGTGAAGTTCACAGCTGAGGAGCTCCGTAGGATTATGGACTACAAACACAACATTCGTAATATGTCTGTTATTGCGCACGTCGACCATGGTTTGTATTATATTGCACGTATTTTACACACTTAATGTCAATTAGATTTAGAACTGATATTCTACGCAAATTAATTTTTTCTTGATGATGTCCATTGTAATTTGCAGGATGTTTGATTTTCTTGCTTCTTGTTATGTTGTATCTGTGGCTACGTGACAAAACAATAATGCTAAATTTTGTATCCTCGCAGGGAAGTCAACTCTTACCGACTCCCTTGTCGCTGCAGCTGGCATCATTGCACAGGAAGTTGCCGGTGATGTCCGTATGACGGATACCCGTGCAGATGAAGCTGAGCGTGGTATCACAATCAAATCTACCGGTATCTCTTTGTACTATGAGATGACTGATGAGTCTTTGTCGAGGTTCAAGGGAGAGAGAAACGGAAATGAGTACCTCATCAATCTCATTGATTCCCCCGGGCACGTTGACTTTTCATCTGAGGTCACAGCTGCTCTGCGTATTACTGATGGTGCACTTGTGGTGGTGGATTGTATTGAGGGTGTGTGTGTCCAGACTGAGACTGTGCTCCGTCAAGCCTTGGGAGAGAGGATCAGGCCTGTTTTGACCGTTAACAAGATGGACAGGTGCTTCCTTGAGCTCCAGGTCGATGGAGAAGAGGCTTACCAGACATTCCAAAGAGTTATTGAAAATGCCAATGTCATTATGGCTACATATGAAGATCCACTTCTTGGTGATGTCCAGGTGTACCCAGAGAAAGGAACCGTTGCCTTTTCAGCTGGTTTGCACGGTTGGGCTTTCACTCTGACCAACTTTGCTAAGATGTATGCTTCCAAGTTTGGAGTTGATGAGTCAAAGATGATGGAAAGGCTCTGGGGTGAGAACTTCTTTGACCCAGCTACCAAGAAATGGACCAGCAAGAACACTGGAACTGCTACTTGCAAGCGTGGTTTTGTTCAGTTCTGTTATGAGCCCATCAAGCAGATCATCAAAACCTGCATGAATGATCAGAAGGATAAGTTGTGGCCCATGTTGACAAAGCTTGGTGTCACCATGAAGAGTGATGAGAAGGACCTGATGGGGAAGGCGTTGATGAAGCGTGTTATGCAGACCTGGCTACCAGCTAGCACTGCTCTATTGGAAATGATGATCTTTCACCTTCCATCTCCCTCCACGGCTCAAAGGTACCGTGTTGAGAATTTGTACGAGGGTCCCCTTGATGATCAATATGCCAATGCCATCAGGAATTGTGACCCCGAAGGACCTCTTATGCTTTATGTGTCTAAGATGATTCCTGCTTCTGATAAGGGTAGATTCTTTGCCTTTGGCCGTGTCTTTGCTGGTAAAGTTCAGACAGGTTTGAAGGTTAGAATCATGGGTCCAAATTTTGTTCCTGGAGAAAAGAAGGATTTGTATGTCAAGAACGTACAGAGGACGGTTATTTGGATGGGAAAGAGACAAGAAACTGTTGAGGATGTTCCTTGTGGTAACACTGTTGCTTTGGTCGGTTTGGATCAGTTTATCACCAAGAATGCTACTTTAACAAATGAGAAGGAAGTAGATGCTCACCCTATTCGTGCTATGAAGTTCTCTGTTTCACCTGTCGTGCGTGTTGCTGTCCAGTGCAAGGTCGCATCTGACCTTCCCAAACTTGTTGAAGGTCTCAAACGTTTGGCCAAGTCTGATCCTATGGTTGTCTGCTCCATTGAGGAGTCTGGAGAGCACATTATTGCTGGTGCTGGTGAACTGCATCTTGAGATATGTTTGAAGGATCTGCAAGATGATTTTATGGGTGGTGCCGAGATTATAAAGTCTGACCCTGTTGTGTCCTTCCGTGAGACTGTCCTTGATAAGTCCTGCCGTACAGTGATGAGCAAGTCCCCAAACAAGCATAATCGTCTGTACATGGAAGCAAGGCCCCTTGAGGAAGGTCTTCCCGAGGCTATTGATGAAGGTCGCATTGGCCCAAGAGATGATCCCAAGATTCGTTCCAAGATCTTGGCTGAGGAGTTTGGTTGGGACAAGGATCTTGCTAAGAAAATCTGGTGTTTTGGTCCCGAGACGACTGGTCCTAACATGGTGGTCGACATGTGTAAGGGAGTTCAGTACCTTAATGAAATCAAGGATTCTGTTGTTGCTGGGTTCCAGTGGGCCTCAAAGGAAGGTGCATTGGCTGAAGAAAACATGAGAGGTATTTGCTTTGAAGTCTGTGATGTGGTTCTTCATGCTGATGCTATCCACAGAGGGGGTGGTCAGGTCATTCCAACCGCTCGAAGGGTCATCTATGCCTCTCAGCTTACAGCCAAGCCAAGGCTTCTCGAACCAGTTTATCTCGTTGAAATTCAAGCTCCAGAGGGGGCTCTTGGCGGTATCTACAGTGTTCTGAATCAGAAACGTGGGCACGTGTTTGAGGAGATGCAAAGGCCTGGAACTCCACTCTACAACATCAAGGCATACCTCCCTGTCGTTGAGTCCTTTGGATTCTCTGGTCAACTGAGGGCTGCAACTTCTGGGCAGGCTTTCCCGCAATGTGTGTTTGATCATTGGGAGATGATGTCGTCCGATCCATTGGAAGCGGGATCCCAGGCTGCAGCACTTGTTACCGACATCCGTAAGAGGAAGGGATTGAAGGAGCAGATGACCCCGCTATCCGAGTTCGAGGACAAGCTTTGAGTAATATTACGTCGTTGATGCACTGCGTTAATTTTTGGTTTCCATTTGAATCGTTTTTGTTTAATGCTGTTACACTGTTGTTGTAGTCAGCATCTGTGCTACTACTAGTTAAATGTTTTGTGCCTGCTCAGAACAGAGACCTACACATTCTGTTTTTACTTTGTCTTATGGACCAATTTCTGCCATTTTTGCTACGTGCCATTTTTTAACTAACCATACTTTTTGTTTACTAGTTTGCTTTGTCCCTGCTGCGTGATGTTGGGCGTAATCCGCGACCGGTTCGAACTGGGAAGAACAGCAACAGCTCCCTCTTGCATTCCTTCATGTCAACCATATTCGCAAGGCGTGCGTAAAAGAGAGAGAGATTCTTATTGTGTTTCTCACTATAACCGTCTCGCATACTATTTCGGTCTTATGTGAATCTTACATGATTTCGTAATTTTGTGGGTCGCACATCCAGTGAGAGAGTCGTTATAAAAATTAGAATAAGACAATGTATGTAATAATACCATTTGTATTTTCCGGGAAAACAACAAAATCTTTCCAAAGAGTTCTACGGAATGCTGCTCAAATACTGATGAGCAACGATGTTTATGGTTCCTCTTCCCTTAGTAAGAAGTCTTACGAAATTGTTTCATGATAAATTATTATGGAACTCATTATTTTAAGAGTCAAACATAAAATCTTACTTACAATTGAAGAAAAATATTCCTATACTGTGGTGCTAATAACTTTTTTCACTAATTTTTGTTTGATTAATTAATAAAACTTTGGCGAAAACCAAGTTTGGAGTTGGGGTGTATAAAGAGCGAACTTTGGGTGATTATGCAACTGTGGATTAGGTTGGTTGGCAAAGGTCGTGTCGCCGTCTCTTTGCACCCAAAAGGTTGGTTGGCAAAGGTCGTGTCGCCATCTCTTTGCACCCAAATTCGAATTTTTTTATTTATTAAAATAATTAAAGTTTTAATCTCTAGAATAATTATATATGCTGTTAAAAAGGTCCGTGTGGATTTTGTTGGGCCTACAAAATACTATAAAGTAAAAAAAATGAAGCCCAACCCAAGAAACGAAAACCCTATCCTTATATAGCACTCACACCCTCCTACGGAACCTACACATTTCTCTCTCAGTCCCATACGCACCTCTAGTCTGCTGAGAGTCACTCCTCTCTCTCTATCTCTCTCCAGCTCTCGATTCTTCAGGTTCGTTCGTATGTCTTATACTATTCGAACCAATCGATTCCTTTGATTTAATCGCTCGGATTATTCTCTTGATTTCTTGATTATCGTCGCGTTAATCATGCATATTTTGTTGTGCTAAGATAGCACCAAACCCGTTGGAACCAACTCAAGCTAACCCACAGGAAATTTTATCAAATAAAAATGCAAGAACAAAATATAAAAGAACACCAAGATTTTAACGAGGTTCCTCAACAGTCAGTGTAACTGGAGTACGTCCTCGGAGCAGTAGGAGCTCACCCAATAATCCACTATCAACCAAATGGGAGTTTACAAAGTGTTGGCAATCTCACAACCCAAAACCCCAATACATCCAATAACTCTCACTCACCAAAGAAACAAATAGAGAGGGAAATATAGTGAATAATTTCCTCTCTATACAAAGCTCAAAGCTAATACACAAATACAACTTTGATTGAGTGAGTACCAACAAAGAAAGAAAATCACCTTTCTTTCTTCTCTTCAAAATGGGGCTTCAGCACCTTTGTTTTTGCTCTATTTTTCTGCTACGTTTTTTTTTTCTCTCTTATGGCTTCATTACTACTCTTCATCAAAAGTAGCAATTACTTCTACTTCAAAAACTCATCCGTGACTTCCCACATAGACCAAGAAAACTTTAGACAAATTCCCTTTTCTTTTCCCCAAAACAAGGAAGAGACATAATTATTTTGTCTTTTTTTCCTTTTTGATTTGTTTAATCAAAAGTTGGCCACTTGGCCACATACTCCAACAATCTTCACCTTGGCCAAGTTCCGAAAAAACGCCATGATAAGCCAACCAACACAATTAACACACAACATCACTCCCAAACACTAGCAAGAGAACAACTCATGCCGAGCCAAATGCTCCAAAACTCCTACTGCTCAACGCCTTCTTTATATAGGCAAAATGTGAGCCAAGTTCAAGCAATGAACAAACTTGGCTACACCAACAACCTTAGTCAACATATCATCGGGGTTGTCTTTAGTTGGAATCTTCTGGAGAATGATTTCCCCTTCACCAACAATTTCACGAACAAAGTGATAACGTACATCTATGTGCTTGGTCCTCGCATGATGAACCTGATACTTAGCCAAATAAATGGCACTCTGACTATCATAATGTACCTCCACCTGCTTCTGATCAACCCCTAAATCTCTAATCAGCCCATGTATCCAAATGGCCTCCTTTATAGCTTCAGCAACTGCCATATATTCAGCCTCTGTAGTAGACAAGGCAACATACGACTGCAAAATGGACCTCCAACAAACTGGCCCTTTAGCCATAGTAAACACATAGCCTGTAGTAGATTTCCTTCCATCCAGATCACCTGCATAATCTGAATCAACATAACCAACTGCAAAATGACCAATACCAGAGTCATCCCTCTCAAAGCATAAACCAACATCTCGAGTACCATGGAGATATCTCAATATCCACTTAGCTGCTTGCCAGTGCTCTTTACCTGGATTATGCATATATCGACTCACCATGCCAACTGCATGAGCAATATCCGGTCTAGAGCATACCATTGCATACATCAAACTACCAACCAAATTTGCATATGGTATATTTTTCATTTGCAGCTTATCTTTATCAGTTTTAGGACATTGTAGAGAACTCAATTTAAAATGAGGAGCCAAAGGGGTACTAACCGGTTTGGTTGAATCATGAACTCCAAACTTCCGAATCAACTTCTCAAGGTATTGTCTTTGATTCAAACTGACCAAACCCTTCTCTCTCTAGTGATCTCCATGCCAAGGATCTTCTTTGCTTCACCAAGATCCTTCATCTCAAACTCATTCTTCATTTGTTTCTTCAATTTTTCAATCTCTTCAACATTCTTTGAGGCAATCAACATATCATCAACATATATCAACAAATAAATGAAAGACCCATCTTGCAACTTCTTGAAGTACACACAATGATCATATTGACTTCTAGAATAATTTTGGCATCTCATAAATTTATCAAACCTCAAATACCATTGCCTTGGAGATTGCTTCAAGCCATAAAGCGATTTCTTCAATTTGCAAAACAAATTTTCCTTCCCTTTCACTATATACCCATCCGGTTGACACATATAGATCTCTTCATTCAAATCACCATGTAGGAAAGCCGTCTTCACATCAAGTTGCACAAGCTCAAGATCATATTGTGCAACAAGAGCTAACATAATGCGAATTGAGGAGTGTTTCACAACCGGAGAAAAGATTTCATTGTAGTCAATGCCCTCATTTTGTGCATACCCTTTAGCAACTAATCTTGCTTTGAATCTCACATTGCTTTTCTCATCAGCATCTTCCTTCTTGGCATACACCCATTTGCAACCAATAGCTTTCTTGCCCTTAGGCAATTTAGCTAACTCCCAAGTCTTGTTCTTCAAGAGAGAATTCATCTCATCACCCATGGCATTGCACCACCTATTCTTCTCCTCACTCTCAATAGCTTCCTCAAAATTGGATGGAATCTCTTCAGTGATAATAGGAAGAGCAAAAGCAACATAATCACTATACCGAGCTGGCTTGGTAATTTGTCTATTTCCTCTGTTCTTGGCAATAGACTCTTGAGGTGAAACTTGCTCTTCAACTTGAATAGAATCTTCAAGTTCAACTTCTTCAACATCCTCATGGTCTCCAACTTCTTCACTTGTAGTGGCTTCGACATCAGCGGAAATAAGATTTGAAGTACCAGAGGCAACTTTCTCAAGCTCCACCTGTTGGACATCTTTCACATTCTTCTCAGAGACTTTGTACATACTTTCTTCATCAAATGTCACATCTCTGCTGATTACAAGTTTTTTCATCTCTGGGCACCACAACCTGTAACCTTTGACACCACTACTAAAACCAAGAAAGATAGCCTTTTTGGCTCTAGGATCAAGTTTATTTTCAGTCACATGAAAATAAGCAGGTGAACCAAAAATACGGATATTGTCATAATCAGAAGAAGGTTTTCCAGTCCATACCTCCATTGGTGTCTTACCCTGAACAGCAGCTGAGGGTAACCGGTTGATGATGTGACATGCATAATTAACTGCCTCTGCCCAAAATGACTTGCTTAAACCCGACTGAGACAACAAACATCTAACCTTCTCAAGCAAGGTTCGATTCAATCTTTCTCCCAGTCTGCTTCTCAACATTTTTCTTCCAACCCAAGAAAATGCTTAACACCTCACTCTTGTGCTTCATAGTGTAGACCCAAGACCTTCTTGAATAATCATCAACAAAGGTCACGAACCAATGTCTACCACTCAAAGAGGGAGTCTTTGTAGGACCCCAAACATCCGAATGCACATAATCAAGAATGCCCTTCGTCTGATGTACAGCAGTACCAAACTTCACTCTAGTTTGCTTCCCCAAGACACAATGCTCGCAAAAATCAAGCTTACAAGTCGTGGCACCTTTTAGAAGACCTTTTTTCACAAGCCCTTGTAGAGCTTTCTCACCGGCATGGCCTAATCTCATATGCCACAATCTAGTAGTATCTGAATCAGATGTGCCCATATTTTCAGAGACTACAGATGCTTCACCTATCACAGTGCTTCCCTGCAATAAATACAAATGGCCACATCTATGAGCTTTCATCACAACAAGTGCACCATAAGTAACTTTCAATGTCTGTCCATCTGAATGAAACCTGAAGCCCTTGGATTCCAAAGTACCCAAAGAAATAAGATTTTTCTTCAAATTCGGTACATACCGAACACCTGTCAACTCTTTAACCATGCCATCATGCAACTTCAAACGAACTGTACCAATCCCTTTTGTTGTGCAAGGATTGTCATCTCCCATGAACACAACGCCACCATCAAACTCTTTCAAGCTTGAAAACCAATCTTTGTGAGGAGTCATATGATGAGTACAACCCGTATCCAACACCCACTTAGTAGCACAATCAAATTATGAGGAAGTGGTTAAAGCAAAATCAGAAAAATCTGTTTCAACCTCAGCAACATTAGCTTCAGAACTTTCTTTTCCTTTGGTCTTCAATTTGGGACAATCTTTCTTCCAATGGCCCTTATTACGACAAAAGGCACATTCATCCCTTTCCAAAGGTTTTCTACCTTTAGAGTTTCCTCTAGGTCGAGACTGTGATTTTTCCCTGCTAGAAGATGACCTCCTCTCCGATGATCTACCTCTAACAAATAAAGCTTCAGAGGTACTATCATGATTTTTATCTCTATGCCTCATTTCATAATTCATCAAGGCATTTGACACATCTTCAAATTTCACAGTTTCTTTACCATGCATAATAGTGGTAACAAAATGCTCATAAGAGTCCGGCAATGAATTCAACAATATTAAGGCCTTATCTTCATCCTTAATATCCTCATCTAAATTTAACAAGTCGGCAATCAACTTATTAAAAGCATCAAGGTGTCTAATCATTTTTGTACCTTCTTTGTATTGGAAGCGGTAGAGCTTTTTCTTCAAGTGTAGGCGGTTCTCTGCACTCTTTGTCATATACTTGTCTTCCAATTTTTGCCACAACACACTTGCTAATGTCTCCCGCATCACAAAATACTTCTGAGTTTTTGCAAGGCACAACCGAATTGAAGAGCAAGTCCACAAATTTAATTTCTCCCATTCCGGCTTCGACATAACTTCCGGCTTCTCTCCCAAAGCGGCAAGTAGATCTTGTTGAGCCAACACATCTTTGACCTCACATTGCCACATCCCGAAGTTGTTTGTGCCATCAAACTTTTCCACTTCGAACTTTGCATTTTGCACCGTAGTTCTTGCAAACCCAGAGTTGCTTCCAAAAGGATTCTCATCTTGCCCGTCTGACATCTTTGGCAACTAGACAGTACCCAAGAGCAACCAGTGCTCTGATACCAATTGTTGTGCTAGGATAGCACCAAACCCGTTGGAACCAACTCAAGCTAACCCACAGGAAATTTTATCAAATAAAAATGCAAGAACAAAATATAAAAGAACACCAAGATTTTAACGAGGTTCCTCAACAGTCAGTGTAACTGGAGTACGTCCTCGGAGCAGTAGGAGCTCACCCAATAATCCACTATCAACCAAATGGGAGTTTACAAAGTGTTGGCAATCTCACAACCCAAAACCCCAATACATCCAATAACTCTCACTCACCAAAGAAACAAATAGAGAGGGAAATATAGTGAATAATTTCCTCTCTATACAAAGCTCAAAGCTAATACACAAATACAACTTTGATTGAGTGAGTACCAACAAAGAAAGAAAATCACCTTTCTTTCTTCTCTTCAAAATGGGGCTTCAGCACCTTTGTTTTTGCTCTATTTTTCTGCTACGTTTTTTTTTTCTCTCTTATGGCTTCATTACTACTCTTCATCAAAAGTAGCAATTACTTCTACTTCAAAAACTCATCCGTGACTTCCCACATAGACCAAGAAAACTTTAGACAAATTCCCTTTTCTTTTCCCCAAAACAAGGAAGAGACATAATTATTTTGTCTTTTTTTCCTTTTTGATTTGTTTAATCAAAAGTTGGCCACTTGGCCACATACTCCAACATATTTGTCTGAAAAATCAGTGATCTGCATGGATTTTATTTTTCAAAAACTCATCCGTGACTTCCCACATAGACCAAGAAAACTTTAGACAAATTCCCTTTTCTTTTCCCCAAAACAAGGAAGAGACATAATTATTTTGTCTTTTTTTCCTTTTTGATTTGTTTAATCAAAAGTTGGGCCACATACTCCAACATATTTGTCTGAAAAATCAGTGATCTGCATGGATTTTATTTTTTTGAAATTATACTATTGTTCTGCATGCTTTTGATTCGATACTATTTCCATCAGATTTGCTAGTTTACTGTTTCGATCATCGCTCAGATATTCTTGTTAGTACTAGATCCTTGTTTTCTGTACGGATCACTCCCTCAGGCTCTGTTTGGTTCATCGGAAAATTTTTACGTGAAATTTTTTTGCTGTGGAAAAATTTTCTGACGTTTTCTTTAAACTGTTGAAATTTCTTACGTGATGTATGAGAATTTTACTATAATTTGTGAGTGGATGTTTTGTATTAGCTAGATCTTTGTTTTATAATTTGTTCACACTAATACAGTACATACTCTGTTTTCCCGGAAAATAGTTTCGTTGTGGAAAGATTACTTTTAATTTAAGAGTAAATTTTGTCTTCACGAAAGTATGAAATTTCCAATTGAGACTTTTTCTGTCTAATTTTTTGTTTCCTGTGCACGTCAAAGAATTAATTTAAAACATATTTTCCAGATCAATTATTTATTTTCTAAAATCTACTAGTTTATGTGTACTTGTTTTCTATTTTGTGAAGACAATTTACAGAATATCTTTTGTCTTGATTATTAACATTGCTTGATGCAGTAAAAATTATCTATGATTTTCACCTGAATTCAATACTCCTTTGGGAAATTTCTTGCTATCGTTTTTTCTAATCGTTTTGAAAACGTTTGAAATGAATTGGGTCTAATAGTTTGAATGCTTTAAATGTTTCTATTCATAGCTGAATTCTAAATTCATTCTTTCTGTTGTTTTAATTTTGCAGGTGGTTCCTTGTCGGTTAATCACCTCCTTATAGATACTAATTGCCGGTTATTAAAGACTAGTCAAGATGGTAAGTAACGTCTTTCAATCTGAACATGGTTACATGGTTGTTGTTGAGCTGATCCATTGACTATTTAATTCTTAATGGTGCGATATTCTTGATATGTGCAGGTGAAGTTTACTGCAGAGGAACTCCGTAGAATTATGGACTACAAGCACAACATTCGCAATATGTCTGTTATTGCTCATGTCGATCATGGTATATATCTTTTTTTTTTTTTTCACTTTACAATTCTTATCTTCGTAACAAGGTGTTTTTATTAACCTGGTGAAAAAAGATTTTTAATGTTGTAATATTTTAGTCAGGTGGATTTTTTTTTCTTTCTGTATATTGAACTTTTTGCTCTAATGGTTATAATTTAAAATGTTTCACCAGTTTGTCAAAAAAATATTTCAGCAGTCAATATGTATAATTGCGGTTTGTCATTTGTTACGATGTCCTGCGTGTTTGTTCATACATATAATCATATTGAATTTTAATATGCAGGGAAGTCGACCCTTACCGACTCGCTTGTTGCTGCTGCGGGTATCATTGCACAAGAAGTTGCTGGTGATGTCCGGATGACTGATACCCGTGCAGATGAGGCAGAGCGTGGTATCACAATTAAATCTACCGGTATCTCTCTCTACTATGAGATGAGTGATGAAGCTTTGAAGAGCTACAAGGGAGAGAGGGACGGAAATGAGTACCTCATCAATCTCATTGACTCTCCCGGGCATGTTGACTTTTCGTCTGAAGTCACAGCTGCTCTTCGTATTACTGATGGTGCACTTGTGGTGGTGGATTGTATTGAGGGTGTGTGCGTCCAGACTGAGACTGTGCTCCGTCAAGCCTTGGGAGAAAGGATCAGGCCTGTTTTGACTGTTAACAAGATGGACAGGTGTTTCCTTGAGCTCCAGGTCGATGGAGAAGAGGCTTACCAGACATTCCAAAGGGTTATTGAGAATGCCAATGTCATTATGGCTACATATGAAGATCCACTTCTTGGTGATGTCCAAGTCTACCCGGAGAAAGGAACTGTCGCCTTCTCAGCTGGTTTGCACGGTTGGGCTTTCACTCTGACCAACTTCGCCAAGATGTATGCTTCCAAGTTTGGAGTTGACGAGTCAAAGATGATGGAAAGGCTCTGGGGTGAGAACTTCTTTGACCCAGCTACCAAGAAATGGACGAGCAAGCACACTGGAACTGCTACCTGCAAACGCGGTTTCGTTCAGTTCTGTTATGAACCCATCAAGCAGATCATCAAGACCTGCATGAACGACCAGAAGGATAAGTTGTGGCCCATGTTGTCAAAGCTTAATGTCACCATGAAGAGTGATGAGAAGGAATTGATGGGGAAGGCGTTGATGAAGCGTGTCCTGCAGAACTGGCTTCCAGCAAGTAGTGCCCTGTTGGAAATGATGATCTTTCACCTTCCCTCACCTGCAACAGCTCAGAAGTATCGTGTTGAGAACTTGTACGAGGGTCCACTTGATGACAAATATGCCAACGCTATCCGGAACTGCGACCCTGAAGGACCTCTTATGCTCTATGTATCGAAGATGATTCCTGCATCTGACAAGGGCAGATTCTTTGCCTTTGGTCGTGTCTTCTCTGGCAGAGTGTCTACTGGTTTGAAGGTCAGAATCATGGGTCCAAATTTTGTTCCTGGAGAGAAGAAGGATTTGTATGTGAAGAATGTACAGAGGACCGTCATTTGGATGGGAAAGAAACAAGAAACAGTCGAGGATGTGCCTTGTGGCAACACTGTTGCCCTGGTTGGTCTGGATCAGTTTATCACCAAGAATGCTACCTTGACGAATGAGAAGGAAGTGGATGCTCACCCTATTCGTGCTATGAAGTTCTCTGTTTCGCCTGTTGTGCGCGTTGCTGTTCAGTGCAAAGTCGCGTCTGACCTGCCAAAACTTGTTGAAGGTCTCAAGCGTCTGTCCAAGTCCGATCCTATGGTTGTCTGTACCATTGAGGAGTCGGGGGTGTAAGATTAGATTAATACATAACTGATTCACTAAAACCAAATAACCACTAACCTGTAGAAACCATGTCGGCTAGAATGCGATCGAGATAGGCTTCTTCTGCAACTCGTCAATCTCAGAATGCAATTGCTCAATACTATGGGGCGTGAGGCTCTTTTATTGCGTGTCAATTGAGAGTGCAGGGACCCTATATTTATACCTTATGCAATGGTGTTCAACTAGGAGACTTCCCATAATGTTAGTCCTAATTGAACTCAACCTTATCATGCAATCCCAAGTATCCATATCAGATAATATAACAGTAGTATAGTTTATCAGGATTGTTTAGCTACATTCCTTATCGTACACACCTTTTGGTAGCTTACAAACAAAGTCATACTCGAACTCTATAACCTCAAACCTTAGATACATGTATTAACAAGTGTGCAGCTCTCATGAGACTTACATTCTCCCACTAGAGCCAACACTTGTTAATCATAGTAATACTGAAGAGAGATTATACTTAAGTGGCCATGAGTTTAGAGAGTTGAACATAAACCTGAAAATCCAGTTTCTGTCATTGCAGAGTATTCATAAAGAACTATAAGGAATTATATGCTCATCTCCAGAACAGCATCCCCATAATCACTTCATGAAACCATACCATACATGAAACTCCAACAAGACATGGAAATATGTAAATGTGACTGTACATATATATTTAAACACATTTGACATGTGGTCCTCCTTATGACTACCAACGTAGGCTTTCTTCATGCTTCATAAGAAACCTCAATGGTTGTTAATCTTTAAACAATAACTCAGATTGATATTCATGTATTAAAACATATCATTATAACTAATGCTGTATGCTTTAAGGGAACTTTGAACAACCAACAGCAACATCTTTATTAGTTATAAATATAACCTTATTCTCAATGCATAAATCTAAACATGCTAAATTAGAACTTAACAAATTGAACAAACACGACTCCCACTATTCCACAGCTTCAAAAACCTGCTAGCACACCCATTTTAGCAACATGCCCTTTGAACACTGCAGCTGGCACCGGCTTATTCAAAGGATCTGCAATCATAGAACCAGTTGCCAAGTAATCAATCTTAACAAGTCCTGCCATTACCTTTTCTCGAGCAATGAGATATTTAATCTCCAAATTCCTTGTTGCAGTTGACCTTTTGTTGTTCTTAGAGAAAAAGATGGCTGCATTGTTATCACAGAATATCTGAATAGGCCTTTGAATTGAGTCTACCACTCTCAATCCTGTAATAAAATTTTTCATCCATATTGCCTGATTGACTGTTTCACAACATGACAAGTACTCAGCAACCATAGTTGAGGCTGCAACTATATCTTGTTTTAGAACTTTTCCACGACACAGCTCCTCCTGCCATAGTGAAGACAAAACCCGAAGTTGATTTTAAATCATCAGGACATCCTGCAAAGTCAGCATCACTATAACCTTCCAAAACCAAACGTTCAGTTTTCTTGTAAATGAGCATGTGAGATTTAGTTCTTTGAAGGTATCTCATAACCCTTTTCCCTGCATTCCAATGTGCTTCTCCAGGGTTGGACTGAAATCTCCCTAGAACACTAATGGTAAATGCAAGGTTAGGCCTTGTACAGACCTGAACATACATCAAACTTCCCACTAATGAAGCATATGGTTTGTCCTTCATGTTCTCCCTTTCAATCTCGTTTCTTGGACTTTGTTCTTTGCTCAGTTTATCACCCTTCGAAATTGGCATTTCTGTGGTTCCACATGATGCCATATTGAATCTTTTTAACACTTTCTCTATGTACCCTTTCTGCGATAGTCCCAGAAGTCCTCTCTCTCTATCTCTTTTGATTTCAATTCCCAAGACATACGAAGCTTCACCCAAATCTTTCATTTCAAACTTGCACTGCAAGAAAGACTTAGTTTCATCTAATAGGCTAGAACAATTTGCTGCTAAAAGAATATCATCCACATAGAGCACTAATATGATATAAGTGCTCCCACTGACTTTCAAATATATACAAGCATCAGATGGATTTTCTGTAAACCCATGCTCCTTAACAACATGATGAAACTTCAAATACCACTGCCTAGATGCCTGTTTTAAACCGTAAATTGATTTATTCAGTTTACATACCATATTTTCCTTCCCTTCTTCTTTGAAGCCCTCAGGTTGTACCATATAAATATCCTCCTCTAATTCACCATTTAAGAAGGCTGTTTTTACATCCATTTGATGTAAAAACAAATCATAGTGTGCTGCTACCATTGCCATGATGACTCTGAATGCATCTTTAGTAGACACTGGACTAAATGTTTCTTTGTAGTCAATGCCCTCTTTCTGTGTAAAACCCTTGGCAACAAGCCTTGCTTTGTGTCTTTCCACATTTCCATTTGAGTCTCTTTTGGTTTTAAAAAACCCATTTACAACCTATGGGTTTTATTCCTTCTTTTAACTCTACCAAGCCCCAAACTTTGTTTTCCTCCATCGAGGACAACTCACTCCTCATTGCATCCATCCACTTATCTGCATGAATGTTTGAGGTTGCTTCTTTGTAACTCCCAGGATCATTAAACTCTGACATATTAAAGTCTAATTCTGCCATATATACAAAATCTGAACAGAAAGTGGATTTTCTTACCCTACCCGATTTCCTCACAAGCGGTGCAACCTCACCAATACCCATACCATCGTGTCGGTGTTCATTGCCATTCACCTCAACCATCTCCACGTGCTCTCCATAAACATTTGCATGCTGCTCTAGTCGGTGCTCCAGTCGGTGTGCTCTTGACGGTGCTCTTGTCGGTTCACATGGCTGCCATTTGCAGCTGCATTTTCCACGTGCCCTTCCTCATTCTCTTCATGTTGTTCATCATTTAATAATGCCTCAATTTCATTACCATTCACTAGTGCGTGGTTGCTGCCATGTTGAATTAAATAATCATCATTTCCCATGCTATGGTCCACGTGATTTGGAAGTTCAACCACTGACTTGGGTACAATTTGTTGTTGGTCATATTCAGCCCATATATCTCCTTGTTCTTCAAAAACAAATTCTTCTGTCCTCGAACAGTTTTCAGCATCCATCCCTAGTTCCATAAATATTGCTTTGCCAGTCTCAACAATTTTCATGTCATGATTGGGACAATAAAACCTAAAACCTTTAGACCTCTCAGCATATCCCACGAAATAACAAGAGAGTGTCTTAGGATCGAGCTTCTTGCCATTAGGGTTGTAAACCTTAGCTTCAGCCTTGCATCCCCAGATATGTAAATGATTAAGGCTAGGTCGCCTACCTGTCCACAATTCAAAAGGTGTATTCACAACTGCTTTGGATGGCACTCTGTTAATAATGTAGTTAGCAGTCTTGACTGCTTCTCCCCACAAAAAATTTGGCAAGTTCACCTTGCACATCATGCTTCTAACCATGTCCATAAGGGTTCTGTTTCTTCTCTCCGAGACTCCATTCTGCTCAGGTGTACCAGGAGTGGTATACTGTGCTACAATGCCATGATCTTGAAGATACAATGCAAATGGTCCTGGTTGCCTGCCAGTTTGACTTTGCTTACCGTAGTACTCACCTCCTCTATCAGACCTAACCACTTTGATCTTCCTTTCCAATTGGTTTTCAGTTTCAGTTTTAAAAATTTTAAAGACTTCAAGAGCTTTTGACTTCTCAGGGATTAAATATATACAACAGAAACGTGAAAAATCATCTATAAATGTTATAAAGTACTTGTTTCCATCGATTGTTTTTGTAGGAAAGGGGCCACAAATATCTGTATGAATGATCTCTAAAAGTTGTTTGCTTCTAGTTGATCCTTCTTTTCTTGAATTAGTCATTTTTCCCTTGATGCATTCTATACAAAGTTCGAAATCATTAAAATTCAAGGGTGGTAAAAATTTCACTTTTGATCAAGAGTTCCATTCTCGGTTTTGAAACATGTCCGAGTCTTTTATGCCAAAGATGGGATGACTGTTGTGGTTTTTCATGGTTCTTTTCAACATTAAAAATCACGTTTTCAACTCTTAATTTGAACTGAAACATCCCGTCACATATAGAACCAGTGCCAATGTGAGAAGAATTGTAAAAGATGTTGAAGCCAATTTTATTTAATGTAAAATAATAACCTAGCAAAACAAGTTTTGAAACCGACACTAATTTCCTCCTCATGGAAGGTACATAAGCAACATTTTCCAAATCCAAATGAAAACCAAATTCTAACTTAAGTCTAACAGTTCCTAAAGCTTTGACTTCAACCCTTCTTCCATTGCCCACCAAGACCTTCACTTCATCTTTATTTGGTGTTCTCCTTATTGTGAAGTCCTGCAATGAATTCGTAACATGAATAGAAGAGCCAGAGTCAAGCCACCATGCATTACTAGGTATGTCAACTGAATTAGACTCAAAACAAACGAAAACATTTTTACCTTTTTTCACTTCTTGCTTGGCAAGCCAAGCTTTGTATTTTGGACAATTTTTCTTCATGTGGCCTGCCTTTTTGCAGAAAAAACATTTGAAAATACTTGGTTTGTTAGGTTTAAAAACTTTCTTAGAGGAGAAAGTACTTCTGGTAGCATCTTTTCTGACAGTATCATGGTTACCATGCTTGGGGTTTTGGTTGTAGCTTTGGACATAATTCACTGATTCAGCCCTTTCTTTCTTAATTCTGACTTCCTCACCCACACATATGGAAATCAATTCATTGATGTCCCACTTAGCTTGCAGTGCATTATATGAGACTTTTAACTGAGTGTAACTTTCAGGTAGAGAATTCATAACTACATGAACCAAAAAAGTCTCAGAAATTGGTACCTCAAGCATCTTCAATTTTCCAGCAATGTCCACCACTTTGAGAATATATTCCCGAACACTTTCAACTCCATCATATCTAATAGTGGTGAGAGAATTCATCAGGTTACCTGTCTCGGTCTTCTCGGACTCCTTGTATTTTTCTTCAATGGATTTCATAAGATCCTTGGCTTTGGATGTTTCTGGGAAACCCCCGCGCACAACATCAGTCATGGTCCTTCTGATAATCATGAGAGAGATTCTGTTTGCTTTCTGCCATTTCTCATGCTTAGACCTTTGACTTGCTGTGCATCCTTCATCGGGCAGCAGTGGTTCATCACTCCTTAGTGCCAAATCCATATCCATCACCCCAAGAACAATCTCAAGGTCTTGCTTCCACTTCTTATAATTCATTCCAGTCAGTGGCTCAATGGTATTGAGATTCATGGAGCTTGGATTGACACCTTTAAAAACCGCAATATGCAAAGAAATTAAACTTTAGTCCCATATCCATATGTCACAGTTTCAACATCTTTGAATGTTAAAATTTATGAACAATTTTCTTTATCACAATGCCAACATATCCCATGAACGAACCTGACTTTGATCATGACTATAAACCTTTGTGGTTTTGTGGTCATGTCGGTGGTCATTCATGGTTTTAATGAAGCATTCTGCCACTTAGAATTTGATATATAAACAACGGTTCATCTTTAGATGATCAGTGTTTACATATCAAACTCTAGTGCAACTACTGATGTCCAAGTTTTTGAAGATATGCATTTGAACACAAACAGCTTTAGCTGATATATGCTCAGTACATGAATTCCCTGATAACTTGTCATCAGTCCATATTCTGTGTAGAAACAAAAATTGTTCTTGATGCTTTCATCTTAGGGTTAATTGGTATGTGAAAGCTCTGATACCAAATGTAAGATTAGATTAATACATAACTGATTCACTAAAACCAAATAACCACTAACCTGTAGAAAACCATGTCGGCTAGAATGCGATCGAGATAGGCTTCTTCTGCAACTCGTCAATCTCAGAATGCAATTGCTCAATACTATGGGGCGTGAGGCTCTTTTATTGCGTGTCAATTGAGAGTGCAGGGACCCTATATTTATACCTTATGCAATGGTGTTCAACTAGGAGACTTCCCATAATGTTAGTCCTAATTGAACTCAACCTTATCATGCAATCCCAAGTATCCATATCAGATAATATAACAGTAGTATAGTTTATCAGGATTGTTTAGCTACATTCCTTATCGTACACACCTTTTGGTAGCTTACAAACAAAGTCATACTCGAACTCTATAACCTCAAACCTTAGATACATGTATTAACAAGTGTGCAGCTCTCATGAGACTTACAGGGGGAGCACATTATTGCTGGTGCAGGTGAACTTCACCTCGAAATCTGTTTGAAGGATCTGCAAGAAGACTTCATGGGCGGAGCTGAGATTATAAAGTCTGATCCTGTCGTCTCTTTCCGTGAGACCGTCCTTGAGAAGTCCAGCCGTACAGTTATGAGCAAGTCTCCAAACAAGCACAACCGTCTCTACATGGAAGCACGCCCCTTGGAGGAAGGTCTTCCCGAGGCCATTGATGAGGGCCGTATTGGGCCAAGAGATGATCCCAAGATTCGTTCCAAGATCTTGGCGGAGGAGTTTGGTTGGGACAAGGATCTTGCAAAGAAAATCTGGTGTTTTGGTCCCGAGACGACTGGTCCTAACATGGTGGTCGACATGTGTAAGGGAGTTCAGTACCTTAATGAAATCAAGGATTCCGTTGTTGCGGGGTTCCAGTGGGCCTCAAAGGAAGGTGCATTGGCAGAAGAAAACATGAGAGGTATTTGCTTTGAAGTCTGCGATGTGGTTCTCCATGCCGATGCCATCCACAGGGGTGGTGGCCAGGTCATTCCAACCGCTCGAAGGGTCATCTACGCGTCCCAGCTCACAGCCAAGCCAAGGCTCCTTGAACCAGTCTATCTTGTCGAAATCCAAACTCCGGAGCAAGCTCTTGGCGGCATCTACAGCGTTCTTAATCAGAAGCGAGGGCACGTCTTTGAGGAAATTCAGAGGCCCGGCACTCCACTCTACAACATCAAGGCTTACCTGCCCGTCATTGAATCTTTTGGATTCTCTAGTCAGTTAAGGGCTTCTACTTCCGGTCAGGCTTTCCCACAATGCGTGTTTGATCACTGGGAGATGATGTCGTCTGATCCCCTGGAACCAGGAACGCAGGCTTCAACGCTCGTTGCCGACATCCGCAAGAGGAAGGGGTTGAAGGAGCAGATGACCCCGCTCTCCGAGTACGAGGATAAGCTCTAAACAACTTCCTATAGTTTCGATTTGCTCGATGAGGATGGATGATATATACATATACATATAGCATAATATATATACATATATATATATTTATATAGCATAATCTGATTAGATTGCGACAGAATTATTTTGAGCTTTAGCTATCGGTGTGTGGTGTTGTTGTTTTTAGGAACTAGTTATATGGTGTCATTGTGGCATCGCGGAGTTAGATGTTACTTTTGATGTATAAATAAATAAATAAAATAGTAAAATAATAATAATAATAATAATGTTGAACAATTTATTAGTCTTGTATTAATTGCTACTCATGGATTTAGAAATACATCCTAGTTTTTATTTATTTATTGTTCATCTGTTTGTGTTTTCTTTGGAATGGATGGACCAGATTCTTCTTGTATCCCATCCCCCTTCAACCCTGTGAGCCAAGTGCGGCGATATCAGGGTCGTGGACCATACCAAATTGTCCTCGAACTAATATTTCGATCCATAAATTCGTAACTCTATGGATTTTTCAAAACTCCATGGACATGTAGAAGAGAAATGCTATCCATACTCGGACCAAGACATAACTTTACCTGTTCAAATAACAATTAAGGTCCACTCGAACAAGACTTAACTTTTACCTGTTCAAATAACAATTAAAGTGAAGCACGGAGGGCAATTTGGTTATGCTATTCATGTACCTTTGCTATTTTTCCTAGCTTCTAACTGAAGAGTAGATGGCCATGTCTATCTTAGGGATGGCAATTCTAATTGTTAAAACAAATAATCGTGGATAACAACCTGAATGGATTGGATTTGAGTATGAAAATTCGGGTATATTTTAGATATGGAGAAAAACCGTTAATAATATTCAGTTATGGTTTTGGATATGGTTATAGGGATCCTCAATCCGTATCCGTCCCCGAATCAGAACTGAATTATATATAATATAATAATATTTATATATATTTATTATTCACCGAATCTACCTTGAGAATACAAAAGTTGCACTATGTGAGTCACATTTTGTGGGCAAGTTAAAAAGTTTTGATATGAATCAAAATCAATGAGAATCCAGACCAATAGTACTTATAGGAGGTATCAAAGATCAATCAACATTATCAATGTTTAGCTTTAATTTTTATGCTCCACAAGATTCATTCATTAAATCATTTTATACATTAAATATTTAATGATGAAATTAATATTTACTAATTTGTCATACATCAATTGAATAAATATATTTTTTGTATTTACGAAGATGGGTATAACTGTTAACCGATGGAGAATCCGTTACCTGGTGGGTATGGTTATAGATAATACCCGATGGTTAATTGGCGGTTATGGATATGATTAATTTTCATGGTTATGGGGATAGATATCGCATTTCCGTCCCCAAATCGAACTGTTGCCATCTCTAGTCTGCCTCCATTTAACAGCAATTTGGATGCCACATAGTACTATTGTCTAGTGGTATACCTCTTCACTTGTAAGTGAGAGGCTTTAGGTTCAAATCTCATAGATGGCAAATTCGATACCAAATTAGATTGCTCATTGTGTGGCTTGGTTGTCCCTATACTTTTAGTATAAAATATATTGTTGTACGAAAAAAAAACCAGCCATTTGGATGGAAGGTAGAGATTGACTCCGTAATTGTCTTAAAATAAAAATGGAAATCGGAAGTGAAGCACGAGTTCAATTATTTTATCAAAACATAAATAAAATAAAAGTGAAAGGGTTCTGTCAAGCAAGCAAGTACCAGTAATTGCACACACTTGTAAAATAAGGAAAATCATTCAAAAGTTGAAAACCCCAACTAAAAATTCATGCTCTTGAGCTTATCATCTATGCTTAGAAATGATTTGTAAACCAAATTGGGTGAAAATTTTGAAGATCGTGTTTCTAATTGAACAAGTTAGCGACTTTGCTTGTAGCAAATGTACAAATTAGCCTCGTAATGGATTGAGATTAGTTATTTGTAAGAATTTCTGCTAGATTATGTAATGCCAGTATTCAGTGGTCCAGTTTGAGAAAGATTACCAACCAACTTGATGAAATGCGTTGGGCAGACTATTTATTTGAAATGAGTTGTTTGTTACTAACCAACTTGAGGGACCATTGCTCCAATTCGATTAAAGTTGAGAAACCGTTGCTACAATTTTCTCTTTTCTTTAACAGCGACAACATCCCTGCGGAAAGATTTATGTTTAAGCTCAATGTGAATCGATCGTACGGCTCAAGGGTGGAAGAGGCTGACCTGGAGTTCTCACTAAGGTCCTTTTTTGTCAAGCTTCCTGTCGCAGAACCCCTTACCAAGGCTCTTCCCCAGAGTAAGTACTAAATTGCTGTCAAACGCTTCAGTTTAATTGGTTGGATACTGACCAGACGCTTACGTTGTTTCTGAGTTCGTTAACTAATAACTATATATGGTTTGGATTAATATCTTGTTTCCTTTAGTGATCGATCAGGGGTAGGCATGTAAGCTTTTCTTTTACAACAGATTGCAGGTGGGAGATAACTGCGTAATTTCGATCCCTCCCTGAGGCAAGTACAAGCAAGGATTCGGAGTCATGGATTCCACGAGACACAAAGCAGTGGCAACAACCTCCATTAATAACCCCTATTAAGTCAGTGAGCAGCCAACCTCTATCTGTGCAGTTGTGTTCATATCATAATCATATACATGCACGCTGGTATTGGCTTTACCTAATTTACTTTTTAAGTCCTTCAATGTGATAGAAAATGCACCGTTTTGTCTTGATTTTGCATGACCAGTACGATACACGTCCCATGAACATACTGCTCAGGAAGTAAATCTCGCTTGCTTGCTGCATTTAACGTATAAATCGCGGTAAGTGTTTAGTATTGATATCTATTGTCCAATTAAGATGAGATTAAAGAGTAACGACGATGTAGAAAGTTTGTGGAAGATGATTAGATTTTTTATCAACGGGGGAGAGGGGATTTGAACTCAGGATCTCATCCGACTATGGGAGGAGAAGTACCACTAAATTGAAGAGCTAGTCGATAGCTACTCAACATTAGTTTATGAACAAACAGTTTAACAAGTTTCTTTTACAAACGCTTGTAATCTTGCTTCAGTCATGAAATGATTACATTCAGTTTTTCTGCTCTCATTCTCTTTCACTTTCATTCTCGCATCCATCTTCTACTTTGGACTCTGATCCTCTAACAATATAATTCCAAGCCAACTGATAAAACTGTCTGTTGAAGGCCTCCATCAGTGGCACGCCTACTCTCTTTTTCACTCAAGCCATCCCTTTTAAAATTTTGGCTCACTGATGTGCTGGGCTGTGGAAGGAAAATTGTGTCCAGCGTATGATAAAAACAATATTTTTTTTATTTTTTAGGGAAAAGTCTTGAAAATCATAATTTCATTTTATTCCATTAATAAATAATGAGTATTTTAGCCGTTCTATTTTAGGGGAGTAATTTACATGTTATATGTGCGCTTTCACTAAGCAAACATTTACATATTCTTGTATTATTGGGATGGTATCTTGAAATAACAAGGACTTTTTTTTTTGCTAAATAACAATACGTGTGCCATGCAATAGTAACAATACTTGTGCCATGTAAATCTTTCTTATTTTTTAGAGGATTGTATGGTGACTTCTTTAGTGTCAATAGCATCTTTGCATATCACGCTTGCAAATACCTATTAGAGGGTATCTTGCCCACTCCGTAACTTTTATTAACAATCCAAACCGTCTATATCATTTCATTATTCATAAAACACCCTGCAAAAAGTTTGACAAATCTAAAACCATTATTAAATTCAATTGGATGGATGAAGATATACAAATGCAATGCTTCAAAGAAACACTAAATGACCACTGATCCGAGAGCAAGTCTATTGGAAAGGGCTAGGGGATAGAGGCTTTATCTGGCATCTCAAAATGTCATTATTCATGAAATCTAAGCCCAATAAAAAAAAATTGTTCTAATAGTGTGAGGCTAGAGATTAAAAAGTATCAAGTGACTAGTTTTCATTGGTCATCAGTTTTTTCCTAAGTTAACCTTTCAAGACCTTTGGGCAAGAGTCGATGCTAAATCGGTCTTTTGAAAGGATCCAATTTCTCTGCCCTCCCAATTTTCATACACTCCCATCATCTCCTACTTTGTGCGGTCACAGTTAAGCCACGTCAATCTTTTATATTGATTTTTTTATACAGATAATAAGACAAAAAATAATAATAATATAAAATGTTAACGTAGCTTAACCGTGATCGCACAAATAAGAGGGAATGTGAGTGTATGTGAGTGTATGAGAACTAGAAAGGCAGAGAAGCCAAGTCCCTTCTGAAAAGCCCTTGGCAGGCTATTTTAGCCTAGGCTAGATCAGTCCCATTAGAAATTGATTTTTGTCATTGAGGCTACATACGCGTTTGCCTAGACTAGTTTGCAGGCATTAGATGCTCTAACAGTCATTTGTTTTTCGATTTAAGTGATTTATTTGTAGAGAGTCAAAAGGGCTAAAAGCTTGATTGTTCTGGAAATACAATTTGGGGAAGAATGATTCAATTGCATTTGGAACGCCACCATTTTGATGTGGGCCGAATGGGCTGACCTTTCATGGTCCAGTTCCTTTTGTCTGAATATCTCAAAGGCCATTCATTGCCATGCCTGATACGAACCACGTTACTCTTCCCACCTCCTACTAATTCAGAGCACTTAATACAAGTGACAGTTGGGTAGATCTTGCACGCCAAGTGTTCGATGTTTTGCGCCAGAGACACTCACCCGTTCCCGCGAAATGCATTGGAGAACCACGGTACCGCGCTTTCATCAGCTTTTCAAAACCTCTCATCTGTGCAAAACAGAAGCATACGCATCGTCTTCTCCAATCCCATGTCAGAGATTAGCGTCTATGTGGGTCCCAGTGAAGCACAAATCCAGCGGAGGGAGTAGACCCAAGAAGAAAGTATACCACAGAGTCCACGAACTCGACAAAGTCATGGACTTGCAGAAAAAGCCCGTCTTGATTTTACAGCTGAAATCCATTATCCAGTCGCAGAAACACCAATCTCTCCTTCTCAGGGACCTCGAGAAAGAAGTTGGGTTTGTTCAGAAGTGGAACTTCATGGCCGTCATAGAAAAATACCCTTCAGTATTCTACGTTGGCGGCGGCAACAGAACGCCCCCTTTTGTTACACTCACTGAAAAAGCTGAGAAAGTTGCTGCTGAAGAAGCTTCAGCTAAGGATTTGATGGAACCCAATTTGGTTAAAAACTTGAAGAAGCTGTTGATGTTGTCAGTTGACTGCCGGGTTCCTCTCGAAAACATTGAATTCATCGAATCCGAATTGGGTTTGCCAAATGATTTCAAGAAATCATTGATTCCGAAGTATCCTGAATTCTTTTCGGTTAAAGATGTCAGTGGCAGAGATTATCTGCATTTGGAGAATTGGGATTCTTCACTAGCAGTGACAGCTCGTGAGGAACATTTGGTTGGTGAAGGAATTTCCGCTGCTTGTGGATTCGGGAAGAAGGTTAGGATATCGAAGGATGGTAATTTTCAAGGTCCACATGCATTTCGAGTGAATTTTCCTGCTGGTTTTAGGCCAAACACTAGTTATCTTGAGCAACTTGAAAGGTGGCAGAAAACGGAATTCCCTTCTCCATATTTGAATGCCAGGAGATTTGACATTGCTGATCCCAAAGCGAGGAAGCGAGTGGTGGCGGTGCTTCATGAGCTCCTCAGCTTGACAATGCAGAAGAGGATGACATCTGCTCAACTGGAAGCATTTCATGCAGAGTATTTCTTACCCTCTAAATTGGTCCTTTGTCTGATAAAGCATCCTGGTATCTTTTACATAACTAATAAAGGTGCAAGGAGCACTGTTTTTCTTAAAGAAGCTTATGATGGGTTGAATTTGATGAGCAAATGTCCCCTGTTATCATTTCACGATAAATTTGTAGCGCTTAGCGGTAGAAGAGAGACCAATCCATGTAATGTGATGCATTCTTCATAGATTTTATTCTTGAAATTGTAAATTTGGATTCTTTTGTGATATTTGTCATTGAAACTATCATGCACGGTATCTCTACCATTTAAAAGAACAACGAAATGAAATTTATTGCAAAAGTATATAGTTCACAGCATGGTTCTATAATGTCTGAAGACTCTGAATTTATTAAACGCCTACTTGATGTTGCTTAACAGAACTGTTTGGAGTTTGTCCTCGTCAAGCTACAAATTTTGTTTATCGAGAATCATTTCAATCATATCATCTCTTGATTCACACAAGGTCCTTTCCAGTTTAAGTTGTTACAAATTAGAGTGCTTTGAAATATAGAAATTTCCTTCCTTGTTTGTTGCATCGAATGACTGTCATACCAAGTACTGATCGGATAATTGCATCTCAAATGAGTATTCTTGAATGCAAATCTTTGAAACTTCCAAAACTTTGCATAATTTTACTTCCTAACGCAAGTCTTAACATGCGTTAAACATTGAACTATAGACGTAAACTTAGAAAAAAGAAGTAGCATCAGCTCCCGTCTTATTCTGAATTTTCAGCGTGACTACTATGCATAATTAGCTAATATTAGTTGCCCTCTATTAGATTTCAGTAATGTCTTCTGCAGATGTTATGTCTAGGTTTTGAATCGCTACGGTTCCATCAACTTGCGAGGTCACAGGTTTCTGCTGGTTTTTTTTTTTTTTTTTTCTTTTTAAAGATATCTAATGAATCAGATGACAACATTTTATCATTTGTTCTGTGATCCTTCGATTTTCTATGCACACTCAAATATTTCTCCTGACAAACACGAGAGCATTTCCAATTTTTTTCTCTTTCAGAACAATGAATAGTCGAAGATGGATCTTTGCTAATTCTGTTTTAACACGAAATAATCAGTTTGCATATGGTCTATGAATGGTGTTGATGCTATTTAGATGTCTGTAGAGATGTCATAGATGTTCAAGGTAAGTTCATTTTTCATTCATCATGAGTGGATTTGTACAAGTACCTGTTTATATAGATATATATATCAATAATTCATTTTCTAGAAGGCGGATTATAGATAATAATGCCATAGCGAGTTCATAGTTAGAGGAGTCGGATTTTCTCATGGGTATGCATTCAACGAGGGTCGCGTTTTTACTAAAAGAATTTGCCCAGAAAATTGAGTAGCTTGTTCAAACGGTCGCTTGGTCTGGGATCGGTGGACGGGGGTGGATGCCGTGGCTAATTTCTCTCTATCTAAAGAATTTTAGCCTATGACCTAACCCTTGCAATTTATGGATCCTCTGCTTAACCTAAGCTTACAGCTGAATAACACCTTGGAACCCTAGTTGGACTTGAAATTAACTAATTATGATAAGAACAAACTTAGCGTTATAATTCGTGTTAATTAGTCATTATGAATGTTAATCACGTCCCTAATCTTGAGGGCTTACAAGCTGAAATGAAGAGTCATGGATAACAACCATTACGCTTCTTGCAATTCACTTTTAAGTTTCCTCCAAAATCTCATTTTGGCCTCAAAGCAAAAGAGTATATGATTCGTCAAAGTTTCAAATTTCAGATTTCAAAAGAGTAATGCTAGGAGACTAAATTTGTACTTTAAATTTTGTAAACTAAATGACATGAAAGTTTATGATTTGATTATTACTTAACTGTTGATTAATGTGTTTATTTCTTATTAGTTGACACATCATTTAATTTGCGAATTTACTTAGGCCTGGTTTGGTACTGAAGTGATTTTGAAAAAAAAGTGGGTACCAAAAAAAGCTGGGAGCTTTTTTATGTTTGATAAACATTCAGCTTCAGCTTTTTTCATAGTTTTGGGTGAAAAAAAAGTCAAAAACACAAAGTTGCAAAACCTAGCTTTGAAAAACCGGCTTTTGTTTCACATCTCTTTTACATAAAAGTTTACCAAACACTATAATACTGTTTTTTTTTTCTAAAGCACTTTTACAAAAAAGTTTACCAAACACTCTGCTGCTTATTCTCACAGCACAACAAAAGCAACTTTTTTCAAAGTGCAACAATACCAAACCAACCCTTAGACTACCTAGCATTACTTATTTTAAATTAAATTTTTAGAGTGTGACAATAACAATTCTCATAAAAAAACGCAAAAACAAAAAAAAATGAAAATTATTTAACATTATACTCTCTAAATGTCATAAAAATTGCATGCAAAGATATGTAACTTCACGCTATACGACCGACATATCCATTGGTCCGATAGTTACAATAAAATCCAAATGTCTCTTCCAAAAAAAAAAAAATCCAAATGTTTGAATTATCTTATGTTTCGAAGCACGGTAGAGGATTCCGTAACTAAAATTCGATAAGACGGAAAGTGTACCGACTCATTGGGAAGCTTGCTTTAAATTCTCTGTTGTTTTCTGTTGACATTTGTATCCGTAGACTGTTCATCACCATCGATTGGAAGAAGAAGAAAAAGAAAAAGAAAAAAATAAAGCAAAAAGTAACTTGAATATTTTGGTGTTAATAATATATGATGGTGTTGGTGGGATTTGGATCCTCTCCTGAGTTAATGGAGAGGATCTTCCTGACCCATCATCTTCAACCGTTGGATTTTTATCCAACGACTACAAACAGGAGAGTTCCTTTAAAGTTATAATAATTATAGCCGTTGGATAAAAATCCAACGACCCACGATTATGGGTCAGGAGGATCCTCTCCATTAGCTCAGGAGAGGATCCAAATCCGTGTTGGTGTACTGGAACATCTTTGTCGACCGGACTTGGATTGTCTGCCCTCCTATTTAGGTGCCCTTCCCGTGCCCTCCTGTTTTGTGTGGTCACGGTTAAGCCACGTCAATATTTTATATTATTTTTTTATAAAAATAATAAAATAAAAAGAAGTAATAATATAAAATGTTGACGTGGCTTAACCGTGACCACAAAAACAGAAGAGCACGAGGAGGGCACATAAATTGGAGGGCAGAGAATCCAAGTCCTTGTCGACCAGAGTGTCAAATGCATTATGCAGACATCATTCATGTTTCGTTTGGTATATGATGACGTGGTGGGACATGTCTTCCCTCTCAAGTCACCATTTCTTTTTTATCTTCTTCTTCCCATTTTTGATTACTTGCAGTAGGGTTCATTGTGGAGCCCAATAGCAGGCCCAAAATCTTAACTCGGTGTCTCGATCTGTTGTTTCTTATGGGCCCATCTTTACTTTGTAAAATAAGGCAAAGCTTCCAACCCACCAAAAATGTTTGGTAGCTGACAATAAATTGGTACTTATGGTTCCACTGGTAGTGCGTGTAACTTGAAATGTGGCGAAATAATGATTTTGGTCACTGTAGTTTGGCTCAAAGCGAAATGCAGATGGGACTCTCTCGAAAGTGAGATTCTTCACGGATTTTCTGTTATTTCACAGTTTAACATCAATTTTCGTGCTCATATTATAAAACATCATACCAAAAACATGATGTGGAAGCGAGTCCACTTTTAAGAGAGTCCGCTTAGCTTTTCTCTGACTCAAATTTCACCTATGTCTATATAGTTTTGATTCTCACTATCCTTATGATTTGCTAATTGTATCAATTTAAAGACAAAGGTTTATTTGCTTCATTTCTTTCTAAAAAGAGAATAAATAAATAAATAGACGCCAAGGTTATCGTATTATCCATGAATTGCAATACTTAGTAAAAACAAGAGTGAAATCACGAAAAATGAAAGTAAAAGATTGAAATAAAACCTCACCCAAATCTATTTGGTGCAAAATAAGATTTCATCCTTAAATTAAAAGACCCATACTTCACTACTGTTAAATTCTGCAACTTTCATATAGTAGGAGAGGGGTTGTATATCTATCTCTGTATAAATATATGTGTGACTCTCGTTTTCTTTGACTTCATGATTTAAGAAAATTGTAGCCATTTCTATTCAATCTTAATCTAATAGTGGAGGTCGACGTACAACAATAAATTTTAAATGACCATCTTCTATTGGATTAAAATTGAACATTGGATAAGGACAGTTTTCTAGAATCATAAAATATAAAAGAGCGAGAATGATATTTGTGTATAGTAAAAAGTGGGAAGGAAAGAGAAAGATGGTGCTTGTGTAGAATCACTTTCTTTAGGTTCATGATAGAGATCATGCTTGTGTAGAATCACTTTATATATTGTAAGCCAAGAGACTTAACTAGTCGTCCAAAGACTCCAAAACCCCATCTATCTATCTATTTCCTCGGCCTGCATTATGTCCTTTCACATAGAAAATTCATCTCTCTCTCTCTCTCTCTCTCATCCGTTCCATTAGTGGGTACTTTGTCTAAAGTAGCATGTAATCCTTGTTGCCTAAACTAGAGCACCACTGCAAAAGTTCTCACCAGTAAAATGATTCATGATGTTTGCTTGATTTGAGTGCTGAGTGGGCACACACCAACACCAACAGAGAGAGAGAGAGAGAGGACATAATGATTTTAGCCAAGCTGGGGTAGCTAGGGTTTGGTTTGCAACCATAATCTCCAATGACCTGGCTTGCTATGTATCATCAATGGGGGATGAGAAAATAAGACTCAGTCTTCAGTCTTAGCACATGGATTTTATGCTAGTGGAAGAGGCTGATGTTTGCACTTGCAGGCACACACCAATCTGTCAAGTCAAAATACAACTGTTGTACTCCTTTTGCTCTTTTTTCTTGCTTTTTAACTTTGTGTTTTCTCCTAGTGGGGTTTCCTGGATTCAAATATGCAATAAATAATGTCTCAATCTTTAGATTTACTCCATCCATTCCATGATTTCCATCCATCACACCCAAAAACCCCAAGTCCATCCAGAAATTTCCCCACGTAAAGAGACAAACAAATTTACGACCCTAAGTGAGTCTAAGTTTCATTAGGGTTTGGTTCCTTTTTAGACTTATGTTTCATGCTTATTAAGTAACGCTAAACTGGGACCATGCACCTCAAATTCTAATTTGACAAGGCTCTCCAAGGTCCTATCAATTTTCTTAAGTGACTGTAGGACCCTGTGGGGGGTCCCTAATTGTCCTAAGTTTGAAAAAATATACATGTTAGGATGAAAGAACAAAAGAAGGAAATAGCCAAGCAACATAATTCCGAGATGATGAAGTGGAGTGGGTACAATTTA